GTAAGAATGTCAGAAAAGTACAGAGGACAAATTCAGTGAGGTGAGCTCATGCACAAGCTACGACAGACAACCTTTTTTCACTCCCCAACTTAAGATGGACGCCAAACCATTTGACCACTGATTGCAAAGCAAGAGTGCAAAATGACATGTACCCAGACCCCAGCTCTCACCTTTGAACAGTGTCATATTACCTGTCCTCTCTGATATCCCTTCCTGTTGGTGCAATAGCTCCAGGCAGCAGCAAACTTTTCGCCTGTTCTAGCAGCTTTAATTAAACACTCGTCTCTGTTCCCATCTAACGGGTGTTCTCTTGGTTAGAAATCACCTTGACAGCATGAGCCACGTTAGCGAGATGCCAGGCAGGCGACATTTGGAAGGGTTTATTTTCTGCAAATGCCAGGGCTAGTGAAGGACTGATTTCATAAGTAGCAGCGGTAAATGAAATGAGATTACAGGAGGGTGGTGGATCATGTGAAGGACCCAATATTGCAGAAAATGTTCAGTTTCAGAAAGCTAGAGATTTGTAGTTTGTTAGAGTTAAATATGTCCAAAGGAAAGGTGTTTCAGGAAGAGTGGATACATAGAAAAGCTAAGCTAAAAAGTTATTAGTTTTCATCTTCATTACACTTTTCTATTTTTCCATGATTAATTGTCTTTAAACTGTCTCTTTATCTCCACATTAATCTTGGCAACAGTGACCATAAAATTAGACCATATTTCAGCAAATGGCTCTTAAGTTATAACACTGCTGAAATTGCTAGACTAGCATGGAAGAGAACTAAAAGGTTTTTAAAAAAAACAGTGCCTCTTATTGATTTTATGTCATATTGATTTTTCTTGCATTCTCTTTCAGCTTTTCTGAAATGCAATTATTTCCCTGTTATTGGATAAACAGCACTTTATCTTTATTGAAGCATTGTTGTGGGATTTCAGCTAAAAAGCTGTATTTTTAAGCCTCACTTATGTCTCTTAAGATGAGTACTTAAGATAATTGTACTTTAAGCCAGAGTAAACATCACAAAGTATAAGATGAATTTTCTTTGGTGATGTTAGTTGCAAGAGATTTGAATATATATCCAGAATATGAGTCAGGCTTATATACGAACTATGTATAGTACAAATAACATCGATAGCATTATGCTTTGTAAGAGCAAACACAAATCATCCATTACACCGAACAAAGCAAGCAATGATGTTCACACCTGTCTTTAGTTTTTTTTTTATTTTACAGTAGATGTTGCAGAAATATTTTATTTTCTGCTTGTAGTGTTCAGAAACAATCTGAGCAACTTCATCTTTACATTCGCAAAAAATACTGTTAATATATAATGTACTGTATATAGGGTTTGATATGCTACAGAAAACTGCAAAAAAATACAGGATAGTAAAATCACAAGGGATGTTAAAGAATCACTAAAATTGTCTCAGCTGAACTGAGAATGATTATTGTTGCTTTGAGCTGCTGTTAAAGGCACAATATAAAATAAAGAGTATTTTTTAATTAAAACAATCATTTTTTTCTGCTATGACTACTGATGGTATTGAAGTTCCATTGAAACTAGAAACTCTGGAATATGATGATCCTGACTGACAAAGCAGTTCCCTGCAAAAATTCAGAGTTATCTTGTCGTTTTTGCTTCTATTTGGAGAGTTCCAACTGATCTTCTGCTCTACAAAAATATTATTTCAAGAAATGAAAACAGAATTGCAGAATGAAGATCAGACCAAAAACCAAAGAACATAGGGAAGGCAAACCACAATGAGGTACTAAAGAGGCAGTATGTGTACAGCAATACAAATGACCATACTAATGCCCTGTTCCAGATCTACCTTTAAGGGAAAGCCAACCAGCAACTCGACAGTGCTGTGTTATTTAAACAGACATGTAGTATTCTCTTTCCCAGAGAAGTGGAAAATAATACCATCCACCACACCCAAGAATCTCTCAGTTGCTTCCATTGATAATTTATTTAAACAGACTCCCAAAACAGAGACTGGACAGTTGCCCTACTGTATATCTCCTATGCACCTGTGTATTTCTATGGAGAATGTAATATCACACATACCTGAAAAGAGTCTCAACCTTAAAATGTCACTGGCATATAAAATCTGAACTTCACAATTGTACTGTTCTAGGATTTTGACACATGAATGAGCTCTTTAAAGTTTGATTAGATGCTAATTAAATTCACATGCATAATTAAGGAGTAGATCATTCCAGTGGAATTCGTTAGAAGCTCTCGTAATTAACTGCAACAACTATAGGTTGTTGTTATCATTGCAGCTGAAGCAGTTAAAGAAGCATATGTTGATTGCACAGCATGTTGGAAGTAAATGTTTGAATAAAGATTTAAAAATAACTAGGGAAAGTCACTTTTCTATAGAATAAAAATGTATAGAAGCTGCTTTCATTGTTTTTGCTTTATTCTCTGTGTTCATGCCGACTAAAAGTATGCAGTCATGCCAGAAAAATGCATATTCTTTCATTAGGGAGTGCATGCTGAAATAAATTAGATCCACCAATTCTATTTACAGAGAATGCATACTGCATATAGTACTGTATATACTTTTGAACCTGTCTCAGGAAATGAAAATTTCTTTTACATTATAATGTAAACCTACAGTATGACAATATTCAGATATGCTCAGTAACACTTTCCTTACTTCAGATACTGTAACCTTCAGCTACTGTAATTCTCTAAAACTGTGTCTAAGAAAGCAAGGATTTCTTTAGCATACTGAAGACATCTCTTGCTAGATTATAGCTTTATACATTTACAGCTGCCTTGGGTAAAACCTTTGAAAATCAGCCCCTGAACTGGTAATACTGAGAATTCTTTGCAATTTTATGGTGCCTTTCATTCAAAAGGATCCCACAGCAATTTTCAAATAGGACACCAGCTTTATCTACTAAAATGAGGTGCTTCTCAGACATGGGTGATACAATATTATCACACAGCATGCAGCCATTATACCCAAGCTAATCCACTGCACAGCAAATCAGGAGAAAAAGAGAGAAATTGCTTCACTAATTACAATAAGGGAAGACAATGGTCTATGAGCCCACGTGGAATTCAGGGATTCATAGGATCTTTAAAGTCCAGGCAAAGACCATGCAGATAGAATCTCCATTTAATATAGACCCTCAGGTACTGTAGTTATATTCACCTAAACGTGTATTTGCTTTCAACACTACATTTTACATTACCAAAAACAACATTTTTTAATCATTTCTGAACATATCACAAATGCAGGTGATCTCCAATATCTTTTAAGCACAACCATTAAGTTTGTTTTCACTGCAATGATACTATTAATAAACAAATTAATAATGTAATGCTGAGAAGGGCACTTGAGACAAACTACACAACGGGTGAATAATATATATATATATTTTTACCAGCAAAATCGAAACACAACACAACAGACTATACACTATATCACAAGACAGCATTTTTTTTTCAGAAATGTGTTTAATAACTAGATACTTCAGCATAAAGCAAATTTACATTTTTTTCGTAAGAATATTCATCTTGCGTTTCAGTATAGAGAAGCGCGAAAGTAAATCGCTAATTTAACAGTTCTCCAGCAAAATGCAAGCGTAAAGGCAAAAACTCGCTAAAATACGTAAAGAAGTTTTTCCTTAATTTGAAAAAATGCTTTGATTTTGCTCTGGAAATTCACAAGTTTATAAAATCAAAACATATTCCAACAAAGATGGCTACCGAAACCCCCCCTTCATGTTCAAATCGACCAGTGATAGAAAAAACTACTTAAACTCAAACTAGCAGTCTTTCAGCGAATTCTGACCGTTCAGAGACATACTGTAACACCCTGCTCTCTAGGGCATGCATCCTAATTTTTTTTTTTTATTTTACAAACCTGTTTCTTATGAGTACTGTTAAGCTCATAAATATCAGAAAAGTGCAAAAAAGTAAAATAAAGAAGCGTAAAAACACTTTTAACTGTAAACATTATAAGAAACTTTTCTAGGACCAGCAATATTAAAATACAACAGTAAAAATAGTAAATAATTTTTTTTTCTTATTTATTTTACATTTTTTGAAAGGCTGATAAAACTCATCTTCATAAAAATATTGCAGATTTTTAAAACTTTAAATTCACATTTTTTATCCAAAGTAGTAGACGTATCAGAGAAGACAGAGAAAAATCCTAGGTACTACTGTAGGTGTACCACAATCTGAGAAATTGATTTCTGAAGAAAGACAATAAAATGCATTTTTTTCCTGTTTTTGTTCTGGATATTTCTTTCTTATGTGTGTACGAAAAAAATCTGAAGGTTTAGACAGGATACCGAAAGGCTTCTCTTTAATTTAAGAACCTTGCCAGGCATTTACTGTGTATGCTTTCCAAGATAATTCAAAATACAGTATTAATGGATACATCCTTTCCATGAGGACATTGACCTTAACTTCCATTTGGGGGAGGAGCTAATGAGGTTATTAATTGAAAGAATGACACCTCCTACAGCACCCAGTCACCATATTAGGACAACTGAGTAATTCTGTTTCGAAAATAAAATGTTCACTTACTGGCCACCAATACCACTTGAGGCAGCAGAGCTTGACCATAAGAATATCAGGTCAATGTAGGTAACCAGGTGGCATGGTGGTGCTGTGGTTAGCCTTGCTGCCTCACAGCACTGGGGCCCTAGGTTCAATTTTGGCTACCTGTGTGGAGTTTGTATGTTCTCCCTGTGTTCGTGTGGGTTTCCTGCGGGTGCTCTGGTTTCCTTCCCCCAGTCCAAAGACATTCTGGTAGGTGAAATGGCTTCTGGGAGAATTAGCCCTGGTGTGAGTTGTGCGTGTTCGTGTCTATGTGTGTGCCCTGTGACAGTCTGGTGTCCCATCCAGGGTGTATCTCGCCCTGTGCCAATTGCTTGCTGAGGTGACCCCCCCATGACTCTGAATTGGAAGAAGCTGGAAGAAAATGGAGGGAGCCAGTTTCCCAGTGCCATCCCACAGCTCTCGGGTACTCACAGATCTGTCTTGTTGGACTGTTTCCGGCACGGCACAGTGTTGCGGACGCAGGTGCCTGTGAGGGGGTCCACACTCTCCACAATGACAAAAGGGCGCTCCTCCAGAGTGGCTACTGTTAGGTGCCTGTTGTCAGACACGGGTTCCATCAAAGAGCCGTACCGCGGCCACACCGGGTACCTCGCCTGGAGAATCCCCATCTCGTAGTTCCCGACCTGGATTGGGAAATAAAAGGAGACAGCTCAAAGGTCAATTCATCAGTGAATTGATTAGCATTTGTATTTGTGATGCTCTTTATTTCATGAGACTGACAATAATCCTTTAATTTGGAGAATGCATTACGGCTTAAGTATTTACTATTTCAAAAACCAAAGAACTGACCAAGGCACACAGGAAACACTGGACCGGGGAAAGGACACTAAATGAGAGCATTTATAATGAACACCTTTTACAAGCTGCCATGAAAATTGCTTGTGTTTCCTTGTAAATTAAATCCTCAGAATGAAATGCTGACAAGACTGATCAAGGGCAATAATTTAAGCAGGCTACAGAGCTGCTTCCTAGTGCATACCACTGCATGAAAACCCCAGTGAATGACCTTATGGACTATTTTCTAGACAGAGAAACATACTCTTGTACTCCTGTACTTGTACTTCTGTAAGTATGGGTCCGTATTCCAAGCAGCTAGAAAGAAGGTAAAAATAAAAAAAAAAATCAGTATCTGGACACTTCATTCTGTGGATGTGTGTATGTACAGTACACACAACTTTGATGGATTTAAGAACTTTTCAGAGAAAGGGCACTTTTTCTGTCAGTGACAGCAAGATGTATTGTTAGAAGGATTTGTTTAGGATTTCATGAGGAATATCAACATCCAACATCAGGTGCTTCTTAAATATTTATTAAGTATTTTAAGTACTATAGTTTTAGCTTATTGGTTAAAGGGCAGCTCCTGGTCACAGGACGAGCAGGTTTCTATAGAAGAAGTGCCGAATTTAAAACATGATTAGCAACTTGCTTCACATTACCCATCACCCACTTCAAAAATGTCATACACCGAAGGGAGAAAAAATATCCTTGAGCACTTATATTGATAATCAGGAAGAAGCAAGGTGATTTTAATGCAAGTGAAGTCTATTCTGCCAGTTATGTACAGTAAAGTACAAACAATATTTACTAAAATCAAGCTTTAAAACTTAATTAAAATCAAATATGAGAGTAACAGGTAGATGCCACCAATGCAAGTTTTGGCATATTTTTAGATTTCTAAATCTTTTAAAATTGTGCTGTAAAATGCAGTAGAGACACACAATATTAATTTTAATGAGGACACAGAGGTTTGTGTTAATATTTGAAGATATACAGTAGTGCTCTCAATGACAATCACCAGCAAACTAAAGGTAAATGGATATATAGATGAATATAGTTCCTTGTTTCCCTTTAAGGCAGTGAAGGTTAAGGTTTATTTTCATCTTTATCATCTGAGCCACAGTGCTCATTAACATATGATTCAAGGGCTGCATAGTGTGTTGAAAATTAATTTCACAGTTCTTTTCCTCTGTGACCTCTTATATATCCTACAATCTAATTGCAGCATTTTCATAATGTAAAACACTATTTCAAAGACAATTACATTATATTAATACTGAGAAAGAGACAGATTTAAATGAAACCATTTTGGAAATACCATATGCTTATGCGTAAAAATGGCAAGTTTATGATTCTTGTCTATTACAATTATGCATGAGTGAAAAATGAGGAAAAACTCCATCCTGAGATAATTAGCTATTCTTGATTTAAAGTCACAACAAGTGTGTGATTTTGAATCATCACTGGAAATATAACACTGCTTTCAATTGCTACACAGTAATTATAAAACACTTTCAGTTCCTGCTTTAATGTAAATATTTTACAGAAGGAGAAGCATAATCAATAGCTCTTTGTGTTAATGAGTTTTCAGAACATTGGATCCAGGAGCAAATGAACCTAATGTACAATTTAATCTCACAACGTCAGTGCCAACCAGGAAAACTGTGCCGTTGGTCTAATGCACTCAAATGATACATGCCCCTCTTGCCACTGAAATGAATGCTTTTTATTATTTTAAGACTTTGAAAGTTATGAGAAACTTGTGCATATACAAGTATGACCAATTACTCAAAATCTGAATCAGTTAGACAATAACTTTAGAAAAAGTCATAAAGGTAATTGAGCATAAACCCCATCAAAACAGTTTATATGGCTACACCAGAGTAAAAGAGACCTTAAAAAAAAGAGATACAGACTCTGCTGGCTTTTCAAGGAAGTGAGCTTGTCTAAATTTAATGTCTTAAATTTAGAAGGAGTTTTCAATGAATAGTTTAGCTTGGGATGGTGTTTGCAAAAATAGACTGCATTCTGCTCGTGCATACTGTAGGTTGCTTGAAGTGCTTAATGATTCAACTAGAAATCTCTGCCATTTAGATCACAGACTGATCCCAGCAGTCCGACTTTTTGGTCTGATTCTGGTCGTTAGCCGAATGTGACCAAGATAACTCAAGTGATGGAGAACAATCTGTCACCTAAAGAATTGCCAGTTTGCGGCTCAGTAGAAACAATTGTGACTTACTGTACAAAACAAGTGTGCTCTTGCAGTGCTGTCACCTGGAGTCATTGCACTCTCACTGTATGGGAATTGCAGGACATGCGTCTTGCTGCACATTGTCATCTTCCCTCTGTTGGTGTATTTTCCTACATTTTGTTTAAAAGCCGTACTGCAGTATTAAATAATCAGTATCCAACTAGTAAGCAGGCTTAGTACTATACAATGTGTTAATGCTATAAATGAAATTGATTGGTTAAAATGAGGTTTTAGAAAGTGGATTCTAGGAATTTCTTGGGAATCAAGTAGACTTCCCTGTAAAATATTTGTTCATATTGTAAAAAAATGTGCATCTCAAATTGACAGTACAGCTTTGGAACAAGGAAATTATAGTTCTTTGTTTCTGAACACACAGGAGAGCAGTGATTCTCAATGATCATGATCATCTCCTCTGTATATGTGTTTCATCTGTCTTTATAATTCCATCCTTTTTGCTGGTTCAGCTTTTGCACATCGTACCAGTACAAAATCCTGTCTTGTTCTGTTACTGATTAAGCTGCATTTGAAGTCTCCAAACTCCTGATTGAGAGCTACTGTAATTCTGCTCTTGAGCAGAATCATTTGAAAATAATAATAATAAGTGCAGAAGAGAAAATAAAACATATAAAAGCTGTACCTTCTGAATTAAGGCTTATTGTTAGGTACTACAGTACAAGAAACCTATAGTTAATTCAGTTTTAATGTATTGTTCAACACAAATTGTTGTAATTATTTAAGCAATAAGTACCAATACTGTAAATGCAGTCAATGTTTTGTCTTACTAAACTGCCTTGCACATTGTTTTATTATAAACCGTGGTGTTAATTACACAGTGCATGTTTTAGTAGATGCCTCGGTATTTATGTTATAAATATTGCAATGATAAAAGTATACATTCCTCATAAAAACTCTGGGGGAAGTTACAGGACCCTGTCTTTTTCCCCTGGGTGCTCGGTTGTGTAAAATGAGACTGTTGAAAAATTACCAAACAATAATGTCTATGATTCTCAGTTGGAAGGGATGTACAGTAAACTTAGGGTGAAATAACAATATTCTCCTCTTGTTTATCGCTAAGAGGTCTCTAGTTCGAAGGCTCTATACAGACCGGCAGGTAAATTAATTTTGACTCAGGGACAACTATTTATGAAAACATATTGTTAAGGGACATTTTGCAGAACAAGTCTTTTTTTCCCTCAAAAATTAAAAACAGTACAGCAATGGCAGCTGCAGGATTTAGTTCATTGGAAACCTTTCATGCAGCCTTTATTTACTGTCCTGCTGAAAAAAGGTCCTTGTGCAGCCATTTGTGAGAGTCAAGAATGATTTGGGGCTGTGATTGTTCTGCTCTTGGAATATCTTTTGAAGATATTCCAATGGAAACTGAACTGCATATTGTTTTCTTACCCTGTACAAGTTTTCACAGTGATGAAACCACAATTACTTATATATCGAAAGTCATGTCTGATTATTTTTGTTGGTACGGCATTTGTATAAAACACAATGAGAAGCCATCTACATAAATTATATCAGTACCTGAAGAAAAAGACTTCAAGATCAAATAGATGAATTAATCTTTTTTCTTCCATACACTTACAACACCGAAGCACTAGAAGTTTCCCCAGCTGTTACAGTGGAAGCATTGTCCCTTTCTGTGTGGTGTCTGTCTCTAAAGATACAGTAGCTGTGATTTGCTATACAAACACTTGCACACAGAACCTTCACCTTTCTGTTTGGAAAATAACGGGTGCATGCTTTGTGATAGAGAAGTGGGAAATAGTGGAGTGATCGGGGTACAGTATTCTACTTTGCTCAAGGATACAACAGCAGTGTCTACAGCAGGTACTTGGACTCACAACCTTTCACCTGGAAGTCCTAAACATCATTCTTCACCTGCAATTTCCCTCATGGGATCAAAAAATTATCTATCTTTCACTGCCCACTCTTAATAAATAAAACATCAATACCTAGACACAACATAAAAAAATAAGAAAAACTATTTGTGAAATTATGTGAAAACTTTACTTTGGCAAAGTTGTGAACACTCTTTGAAATAATTTTTAAGCAATCTAGGACATGCTTTTAGAAGGGTGTAAAAGTTATCATGAAAGTGCCATCTGAACAGATGCTGAAGTTGTGCCACAAAGATGAAACCCACGAAGCTCAGATTGACATAACACAGAGCAAATGTCTAAGAAAAGTTTACTGGGATGAAATTGCATGGTAATATCCTCTTACCGCAATCCTCATGTAAAATGTAAAATCCAATAAGATCTAAAATAGAAAATGTTCTGTTGAATTTTGGCCATCACATTATGAAAAGGACATTGCTGTAGTGAGAAGGATGACCATAATTTCTATCTCAAAGGCAGGTCATTTATAGATATATACAGTGTCTTCCAAAAGTATTCATTGTCATCCCCCCATTCAGATTAATGATATATGAGATGAAAAAATGATAGCAGACATTTTCTCTCTTTTATTAAATTGGCACTATAAAAAATAATAGACCCACTATATTATGTCATTACTATATTATGCAATTTAAATGAAATGTTAAATTTTCTTTTTTACATTCTGACTAATGCACTTTATTCC